TTAATTTTTCTCTAAATTTTCTTATTCTCAGACAACAGATTTTATTATTGAAGAATTATATTTGAGAAATTTATTTATTTGGACTTATTGATTGTGTTTTGTATGGTTTTATAAAATATTTGGGTTAAACTTTATAATCCAAAAGGTTTAATTTAAGCTCATTAAAGAGTGATCATTAAAAGTATTGGTGGACCAATTAAATGTGTTTGGTTTAAGTGTGGTTAAATCCTAACTTAGGTTAGAACTATGTATTCTATTAAGGTTATGATGGGAGACCCTAATAGTTTTTTATATATAAGTTATGTCTTCTCTGTCTAATCTATGCCGTTAAAACATAAAAAGAATTATTCTCACCTATTAGGAGTTTGTAGATACAGAGAGAAAGTACCTAACCGTTCTGTTTCTATTTAGTTTAACATAGCATTTGGGATCAATATGGTATCTCTATTTTGTTTAACCTAGCATTTAGGATCAATATGTTGTCCAGCACGTTATTCTATTTTTTATAATTTCAATTTATATATAAGTATTGGGGCACTTAAATTCTAACATTATGGATAAAAGATATTAATTTTTTTTCTCATATAATTTTTTAAATTTTTTTAAAATTTTTCAGGAGACTACAATTACAAGAAGGACCAACTTCCACAATAGCTTCCCTCTCCATGCATAAGGGATTAAAAAAACCTTGAATATAAATATTTATTAACATTATAATTTTATTTTACTTTAAGATAATATTACTCCCTCCATTCTTTTTATATAGGAAAAGTTTTCATTTTGGGTGTTCTTTTTATATAGGAAACTTTGCCTAATTTAGTAACTTTGAGAACCATGCCAATATTAAAAGTTTATCTTATCCTTATTTTAGTCCTTTGTGAAACTTTTAGTGTAAGAAATTCTTAAGATAGTGGCAGACAAAAATATAAATGAACATTTAATGTGAATAAATTTTGATAAATAAATTTTTTTACATCAATTTCCATTGTAAAAAATAAATATGCTCATATAGGTTATATAAGCATTGATTAAAATGAAGTTTGAACAGAAAAAAGACCACAAAATTTTAAGTTGGCCACATTGAAAGGGATTTTTATGGACTTTGCCAAAAATTTAAAAAATTCTGCAATTTAAAAATTTTCAAGTTGAAAGGTTAAACACACAAAATTTTCATATTCTCACACAACTTTTTCAATAAAAGGACAAAAAATGAATTTCTCTCCACATGTTAGAGCATAAATTTCATTTTTACAACTGTTTGTATTCCATTCATTCCAACAAAGCATCTAAAACCTCATTAGAGATTGAAATATAATTTAAGACATTCATTAATATTAGAGGAGAAATAAATGATATATTAGAGGTAAATTAAAAAAAAAAAAAGTGACAAAAAAAGTTGTTTAAACTACTTTTTTAATCTCGATAAAAAAGTGGTTGTGTCTATATAAAAAGAATAAAGGGAGTAATAATGATATTGGAATATTCAATATCAATACAAGCCCTGTGACACCTAAAAGAAGTCGGAAATTTCAACTTGGAGGTGCCTTTCTATCGAGTTTTGCAGGTAAGTAATAAATAATGTACCTGTTACCTAATTACGTTCTAAATAGCTTTCATTTTGTCAAATTTCCATGTGCAGGTGGCTGGTGTTCTTGGCAGAGTTAACGTCAAAATACTCAGTTACTTCCAGTACCAAGATGGTGACGGTTGAACAAGCCCAGTAACCATATGACTTTCCAGGCCCTCACTGATAGTATATTACTTATATTTTTAGTATGAAAATAAACTAGAAGATACCAACTCTTAAATGAGACTGTATTTGTGCATGAAACGAGGATTGGAATTAACCTGGATTGTCCTGCAAATTTTTCAACCTGGGCACTGCATCTGTTACCGACCATGAACAGATTTGAAACAAGCAAGGAATAGCTTGAAAGAAAACAATAACAATTAGAATAGAATTAGAAAATAAAGTTTTGTATTCTCATCGAGATGTTTCTGTACATTGTGACTCATATATACACATAAGATGTGGAGATGTTTCTAGAACTCTTAGCTGTCATATGTAACTAACTCTAATAAAATATGATGACTCAACTAACTAAATAAGTTAAAATACTCTACAACACCCCCCTTCTGCAGAAGATTCTGCAGATGATCCACTAATAGTAGATTGCTTCTTACATTTCCAGGAAATCAAAGAAGGGCCTAAGAACATACGATATCCACTGATGGATTTTCGAGTTTGGACACAACAAGCCCAATCTACATCTGAATAAGCACTAAGTTGAATGTTGTTGACAGCAGAAAGAAAAGGGCTTGATTGATGGTGCCTTTTATGTATTTACAATGTGTAGAGCTGCTGTGTAATGGAAATGGCAAGGAGCCTGCATAAATTGAATGAGTTGTTGAACAACAAAGGAAATATCAGATCTTGTTAAAGCCAGATATAACAATCTGCCTGATAGCCTTCTATATGACTTGGGATTTTCCAATAGTGGCCCCATGTTTGCTGTAAGCTTGGTGCCTTGAACATATGGAGTTAAAACTGGCTTGGCTTTAGATAAACCAGCATCAGAAACAATGTCAAACATAAATTTCTTTGTGTCATCAAGAGACCTTTATCTGATGTGGCAATTTCAATGCCTAGAAAGTATTTGGCATATCCCAGATCCTTGAAATTTGTAATTTGTAAAATTTTTCTATTAAAAATTTGTAACTTGTAAAATTTGATCAATTAAACATATATTAAAGTTGTAACCACATATCAAATCAATAAAGTCTAAAACACAAAAACTATTAGTGCTAGTGCAAGGAGGTGAAATGTTTACCAAACTTTGTAACTTTAAAGCACGATAGGTCCCTTATAAAGTTTGGGGTGCCATAAATTCTTTTTTTTTTTTTTTTTTTTTTTTTTTGCAAGGAGGTGAAAAAATTGTTTTTAAAAACCCCCCAAAAAAACCCTTTTTTGTTGTTTAAAAAACTTTTTTTTTTTAAAAAAAAAGGCCCAAAAGGGGAATAGCGGTTCCCTTATAAAGTTTTGGGGTGCCATTAAATCTTTTTTTTTTTTTTTTTCTGTTTTTTGATGCAAAATTAAGGATATATTACAATAGACATTGCAATTTGATTACATTTCTGTTACTTCCTATTACAACTTACCAAATTAGAACCTAATTAATCTTCTCATAACGGGAGTTATTGATAGATACTTTCAGAGTGCCATAAATTCTTTTTTTTTTTTTTTTTCTTTTTTTTGATGCAAAATATAAGGATATATTACAACTAGACATGCATTTGATTACATTCTGTTACTTCCTATTACAACTTACCAAATAGAACCTATTATCTTCTCATAACGGAGTATTGATAGATACTTTCAGGCCAGCAACATTGCTCGATATGTCATCTCGAGTTATGCATATCTGGCCCTTAATAGAACTTCACCCTAAAGTTTGATACAAAAAAATTGCAGGAGAAAGTGTAATATATTCAGAAGTTTTTTGTCTGGTAAAGGAGTTTCAAATGTTGCAGATGTCTCAGATTCATCTTAATGGTTCGGTCATCACCAAAACAGCAAAAAAACTGTCTACGATATCTATCTTGAAAAAGCTACAAGATACAATGTTCAAGAGATTGGCATTGGAGACACACGGAGATCCTTCTCATTGTCTGACTGTAACTGTCACAGTCAATCCCTCAGAATGTTGAACTTATGAAAATGGTATTGGTACGGATATCACCGTTAAGTTCAATCGACTTCAAATTCTCTCTTGAATGATATTCAACAATGAAAATGGAACATTCCATATTTATACTCGGGACTTCAAATATCTACAGAGGGTTTTAATCTTCGACCTAATCTGGAAGAAGAATAAAAAGGGACTGGCTTGGTTCAGCTTCTCAGATGCATAAAGCTACATCCAGAATTTAGAACTAGAAATTGAAAATATCAATTTAAATAGAAATGCCCTTTCCCATCTTTTGTTTTATAGCAAAATTTTCACTAACCTTTCCTCATTGCAAGAATTGATATTCTATTTGATAACCTTGAATACTAGGTGGTGATTATTGATGAGTTGCAAGATCACAATGTTGCAGATATAGCCTCATTTCAAAAAGCATAAACTTCGGATTTGGATAATCTGAAGATCCTAATACTTAGATGCAAAGAAAGTCCAATTGAACTGGCTCAATCTGAGATGAGCATTTGTGCTCTCTAAACATCGATCTCTCTCTAGTTAGTGTTACTAGAGGGTATTAAGCTAGCATCTATCAGGTTAATAAATTCTAGCTTTGATATTAGTCTAGTTAGTCTGAAATCCTAGAATTGATAATTCATATAATTTCAATTGGCAGCCTTTCGCAAGATACACAAAGAAATACAGCACATAAATACTGATGCTATGCTACATTCAGAAATAAAAATTACCAAAACGTTAAGCTCATTATAGACTAGTAGGTTCTGATCAAACAAAAATATAGGCGCTCAAATAAAAGTTCAATAGAACATTGAACTAAAACTTTATTTACTACATCCGACCACGTCCTGCCAAACTAAACTGATTTTATTAGCTTGAGAAATTTTCCACTTGCATGCTTGCACAAAGATTGTGGGCTAAAGAGTATCAAATAACAATAAAAGAACACAGTATATGTTACCAATAAACAAGATAGTTATAAAGAGTATCACCTGCCAAATCCAATGAACTAATGTTAAGTAATCAAGACTTGAAATCTCTGTTTTTGCAAGAATCGCCATTGAGAACTGAAAAATTCCTTAGTAGTAATATTTATGCATCAAAGAACCTTCAAACCTCAGATCAGTCAGATTTTCCTACAAACGGGCTAGTGATGAATGTAATAATTTAATCCCCCTAAGTGTATATGCTCCAATTTTGCAAGCGACAGTGTGCTTCAAAGAGGCTAAAGAAACATAGAACTTCGATATCAACCACATTCAAAATAATGTTAATAGCTATCACATGCTGAAGCCATCTATGAATTAAAAGAAAAAATCACAAATTTCTATTTTGAAATGAGCCAATTGTCCATTCCAGTCATGCATTTCCATTCAAACAGAGAAAGTTCACAAGTCTTAGAATCAAAATTCAAATAATGGAACGCAAGGACTTTTCATGAATAAGAAAAAAAAAATCTCAGAATCAGTCAATCAAACAAGAGAAATACAAAAAAAAAAAAAAGTCATTTTTCAAACCCTCTTTTTCTTTAGCAATGGAGGTCTCTTGCTGCCCATGGCTGAAGCACTCTTGCCAGAGACAGGCATTAGCCCACGCAAAATAGCTAATATTCCAAGACCCATGAAAGGAAAGTAAATCATCATCAACTTGTCAGATGCCTTGCCAGACCCCATCAGTTCCGCTAATATTGCACTCTGCAATTCAAAATTTCCCAAAAAATTCAGAAAAAAAAAAAATCAAATCAATATCATCTCCTGGATATGCAATCTCAACCCTTGGAATCAAAAAGAGCGTCGAGATCTCAACTTCATTATCTAATATATCAACCGCCGAATAACGAATCCAAAGGTTGATATTGCAAAGATATGAAATTCAATAATTTGACAAAAAGGATTGATTCCAATTTACCATGGAAGTGAAAACAGAAGCGCCATAGATCAAGCAAGTCGTGTTAAACCAAGGCTTAGAAGCCAAAATTGCGTACAAGTTGAAAAGAGCGAGAGGCCATTGAAATAGAAGCTCAAGCCAAACAATTCCGACGAAGAAATGTGGCTTCTCAGATAAGAGATAGTCCCCATACTCGTGGCCGTACCATTGCTTCAGATTGATCAATAATTCCGGGAAGTAGCTCAAAGGGAGACACGTCTGCGCGTCGATCAACGGCGCCGCCACCGCAATTACGAGAAAGAACAGGAAGAGTATTATGTCTATTAGCTTCGTAATTGCGCCCATTTTCTGAAAGTGAAATGAGAAATCTGTAGTTCGTAGATCGTAGATCAGAATAAATAAATACAATGGGATACAATTGCTCCCAAATTTTTTCAAATTGGACTGCAATAGTAAAATAATTGCAACAACTTGAAAGAGGGTGTCTTGTTGAAAGAGGGTGTATTTTATTATTAAGCATAAACAAAATGGTAATTGTCATCTCTATACCCATTCATTCAATTTAAGCAAAATGAAAATTTAAAATTTATCATACACACATAATTTTTTTTCCAAATAAACAAATTAAAAAAAGTAAAATGAGATATTACAACATAATTTATAAAATAATTTTTTCACATCTAAATCTATATATATATATATATACAAAAACAAACTTCAAAGCCTTGTCTTTCTTTAGCATTTTATTTTTCTTTTTTTAGAAAAAGATAACATTGCATTAAAGCACTCTATTTATCAACTTCTATTAGTGTTGGACGCATACATGCCAAAAGCTCTGTTCGTTCTCCCACTCTCAAATTTAAAAATATAAGTATAAAAATATACATAAATATCAATTGTTTTATGAACAAAATATTATTTAACTAAAGGCTTCTACTTTTATTTTCAATGTGAACATCAAAAGCTTAACAGAATGTAATAATAATCATTATTTAAAATAATATTCAAGTACCCGCGAGCGAAGCACGGAATTACAATTAGTTTTAAGTAAAATGATTATAATCAACCAAAGAATTTTAGCCTACCATAATATGGTATAATTTTCTTTTGCAAAATAAATTTGGAATTTAAGACAATAATATGATACGATTTGAAATATAATTATAATAACAAAAATAAAATAATTTTCATAGTTAATTTATGCACAAGTATAATACGAGAGGGCTAGGACTAATTAATCAAATAAAACTGTATATATTTTATAAATGATTGATTAATATGTAGTATTATAAAAATTATTGTTATGGTGATGTTATCAATTTATATATATATTAGATTTAATAAATATATTATATTATTATATATATCTAAAGGACGTGAATGGTTTATTGTTGCCACCACAGTATATTTACCATTCAGCTCTTTCCTCTCTTTGCCCTTAGTAATAACATCTCTCACTAAACTGTTTTTTCTGCAATGGGTCAATTAGTCCAAACTTTATTTTTCTTTTCCTTTTATTTCTTTGTTAAAATGTGCCTATTATATAATTTTTTTTTTAAATGTACTTACCACCACCATTATCATTATTAATAAGTGAAAATCTAATAAATTTATTCTGTCAATTTATTGTTCATTTATATATTATTATGTGCTTATTACTCTATTAGTGCAAAATTTTAACGGCAAATTTGTTTACTTTGTTGAATTATATATAATAATAATAATCATAATAAGAGAAATTTCACTTTGAAATTCTCAAATAATTTTCTTTTCATATTGACTATAAATAAATTTATTCTGGTCAATTTATTGTCACCGTTTACTTTATATATTTATGTGCTTATTTACTCTATATGTACGTGCAAAATTTTTAACGGCAAATTTGTTTACTTTGTTGAATTATTATATAATAATAATTTACATAAATCATAATAAGAGAAATTCACTTTGAAAATTCTCAAATAATTTCTTTTTTCATATTGGACACTTTGTTGAATTATATATAATAATAATAATCATAATAAGAGAAATTTCACTTTGAAATTCTCAAATAATTTTCTTTTCATATTGACTATATTTAATTTTTTTTCACATGAATAATAAATATAACAACATTGTTTGCCCATGCAAGTTCTTCTTCTTTTTCACTGTTGTGTTTGGTATGTTGGCAGTGCATCAAATTCTGGGGCGTGAAAGGATCGAGCCAAGTCAAACAAAAAGCACATATTGTCCGTATAATTGAGAATGTTTGAGACTTAATTGAGATGTGTTGTTAAGCTGAGAATTTCAATCAAAATTTGTTCAGTACTAACGACTGTTCATGAAAATTTGAAACTGTGTTTGAATGGCTGCAATTTATGCATACAAGTGAAAACTGAGATGATCAAACACCAGCATTACTTTTCTTTTCCTTTTAAAGTTTGTGTTTTGCCTACTTTTGAATTCAGTTTGGGTGTGTTCTTCTACTTCTCTATTGTTGGTATGTATCATTGGTGTTTTTTGTTTCTTGATTCTTGATTATCCTCTTTTCTGTTTGTTATGTATGATTTGACATGAGTTTTTTTCAGTCCTTTGTTCTTTAGACTAAATCATAATCTTATTCTATTGGTGTGGTTATATTGGAGTGAAATCTTGGTCAGAGAAGTCTCTTTTATCTAGAGACGCAAAAAATGCAATAAAAACAAATGGGATAATTGAAAGGAATTTGCCAGGAGAGGAGGGTTCTCAAAATGGTGGCTCCGAAGATCTTAATTCTCACTCATCCAGGCTTGAAGAGACAAACATAGAACCATATTCAAGTCAACTTCAACATAGTATAGGAGAGTCAAGCTTTTCTGCTGCAGGTCCTCTATCAGGTCTGATAAGTTATTCAAGGCCAATCACATATTCTGGCAGTCTCACCCTTAGATCATATAACAGTATAACCGACAGTCGTTCTTTATCTTTTCCAATGTAAAATAACTACCAAACTAATTATTTCCTGTTATTTATCTGCATCTAACATATCAATATATGTACACTCGACACCAATAATTTGATTTTGCTAATTGCTTTTGTTCGGTTCATAGCTTGAAGTCAAAAAATATATACACATCATTAATTATTACTTCCTTCGATTTTTTATTTAGAGAAAATTTTCTTTTTGGGTGTATTTTTTATATAAAGAAAGTTAATTTAAATAGTAAATTTGGGATGCTAAGCTAAGTTAAAATGAAAAAGTCCTTGGAGTATATATATTTTTTAAGATTGAAGCTCAACAATAAAGGAAAGTGGCAGACACGAACATTCTCATCATTTAATGCATGCGTGTTTCAAGGGACAAGTTATCAACTTACGTTTTCATTTCATTTTATAGTAACAGTGGTTGTTTTTATAAATTTGGCCATATAAATACAGAGTTAGCCCTTATTTGTATGTCTTAGTGTGGGGATCCAAAGATTAAAATCATACACTAAAGGAGTCAGTTGCTCTTCCAAGAAGGGTCGAAAGAGTGCCTTCAGTTGTAGCCAATAATATTGAGATTTTGAAAAAAATTGGATGCAATTACTACTCTTTTGGCCACATTGGTGAAAAAGATAGATAAAAACATTAAGTAAACACAGAAAAGTAGTACACAAATTGAAGAGCTGTAGTCTTTTATTGCTGATTTTAGGCGATTTCACCAAGGAACATGTCAATATTATGAGATTTCTGAAACACCTATTGGAGAAAAACGAGGCCAAAAAAGTAAAGTTGTGTTCGAAAGTAGTGATCATCAAGCACTCACAAACTTAGATGAGACCCGACCTCCTACACAAAAACCGTGAATTTGCAAGTGATAAGATAGATAACCCAGTAGGAAAAAGTGTGGAAGATATACCTGCTGCTATTAATGCTAATCTAGGTAAGAATTGTGACAATAAATAGATTAATGTGGACCTTTATTGTTAGTAATTGTGCACTTTCTAATTATCTTTTGATTTTTTGTTAGCCACTTAGTGACCTTTTGTTTTTAGTACTTGTGCACTTTTCAATATTTTTTTATTTCTCTGTGTTAGTTAACAGTTGTGAATTTCTGTAAGCCACTTTGTGGCCTTTTAATTATTAATTGTACCCTTCTGTAAGCTATTTTGTACCCATGTTTTTAATACATGTGCACTTTTTCAATGGTTTTTTTTCTGTATTAGTTAATGGTTATGAACTTCTATAAGCCACTTTGTGGTCTTTTAATTATTAGCTGCGCACTTCTATAAGCCATTTTGTGGCCACGTTTTCAGTACATGTACACTTTTTCAATGTTTTTTTTCTCTGTGTTAGTTAATGGTTCTGAACTTCTATAAGCCACTTTGTGCCTTTTAATTATTAGTTATACACTTCTGTAAGTCATTTTGTAGCCTTATTATTCTTAATTGTGCATTTTTTCAAATTTTTATAATGGTTGTACTTTTTTGTAAGCCACATTGAGACTTTATTATTATTAGTTGTGTACTTTCCAAAATTTAAAGTTGTCACACATTTTGCTAGAGTATGCACTTTTTAAAAAAATTGTGCCTTCAAACTCACACTAAAACTCGAATTTTAGGGGTCACTTATATTGTAGACAACTATAGCCATTTCTGTTTCAATATGTATAAAATTCAAGTCCGAAAGATGCAAAGTAGTGGTCATTTCTAGATATGGTATGACTGATGTAGATGTTATGAAGAAGTAAATAGATTTTTTTTGAATCAAATCATTAATTGTGATTCCATTTATATGTGGCGAACGTTCAAAGTTGAAGAGTCTAATTGTAAACTCAAAAAATTTGGCTCTAAGTTCAATTTTATTTTGGCCACAATGTATTGCAATTGTGCATTACTTTCTGAATTTTATTTAAATTCGGAAAAACCAAATTTTGCTTTTTAATTTTGAATTTGAATTGAAAAATTATTCAAGTTTAAACAAGTTAGAGTCAAAATTTATGTTTTTCCTTCTTTATTTTCGTCGAAAATTTTGGAAATTTGTGACCTTGAATAAATAAGTTAAAAAATTTAGTCTTTAATTTGGCTCCAAAATTTTTTTGATTTTTGTACACATATTACGTAAAATGTCCGTTCTAATAAAGTCAAAAGAGTTAATAAAAAAGGTTGGAAGTGACGCTCAAATGATGCAAGTAGACAATAAATGTACTTATTGTTGTTCCCATAATTAATGATGTAATGAAGGGCATTTTAAGGAGAAAACGTAATTTAATTAGCTTTCTTAATCCAAGAGCTTTTTCTGTTTTCTCTAAATAAAAAAAGTGTGAAGAGAATACAAATTATTAATGATTTGGGGAGTAGTACAAAATATACATATTTCGGTTTTTCTCTTGATTGGGATGTATATGCAATAGATTTACATTGGTTTGGTTTCCTGCATGCCAGTTGAGATATAAGCAAATATGTTTTAGTTTTGGTTTTTCCTTTTTCATCTAACCCATCCTACATTTGTTATTTCTTCTTTCCTTTTTTGTCAAATCTTTATACTTGTTCATATTATGTGGAGTTTCCTTTCTATTAATTTAATTAAATGCAAGTATGCAAAGGTTGTGTTTGTTATTTCAATATTCATGTTAAAATTGAAGCTGTCATTTTTTTACTGCAAAATATGTTAAATTGGTCTAAAAAAATGGTGATATTATTCAAAAATTGTTGATTCGGATTTATGGTGAAGGTGTTGAAGTATTTTTCATGTGCTTATTTGCTCCCTCGTATGCTAATCATCATGTTCAATGAAAAATTCTTTTCTAAATAAAATGACCTGAATTTTCTTTTTCTTTTCTTTGTTAAATCATTAAAGATGCTTGAATTTATTCTGAAAATTAAAATCAGTTTTATGCTCCGTTTATTTTCGTAAAATAACTTGTAGGAAAATAATTTGTTAAAAAATATTTTTCATGAAAAACATTTTCCTTGAATAATATTCTCCAAATGACTTATATTCCATTGTTTGGTTATAATATTGAAAATCAGTTAAAAATATTAAAATTTATCTCATAAGACCATAAAATTTTTTAATAATAATAGAAATTTTAAATTTTAAATTTATTGTTAAATATGAGAAGAATGCAAAAAAAAAAAAAAAATATTTTCCTTTTATTTCATCTAACCCATTCTACTTTGTTATTTCTTCTTCCTTTTTGTGTTCAAAATCTTTATACATTGTTTCAGTATTATGTGAAGGTTCCGTTCTATTAATTTAAGTCAATGCACAGATATGCATAAAGGTCTATGTGTTTGTCTAATATCAATATTCATGTTAAATTGAAGCTTGCAATTTTTATCTGCGAAAATATGTTAAATTTGAGTCTAAAAAATATGGTTGATTATTATTCAAATAAATGTGATTTCGGATTTATATGGAAGGTGTTGAGTATTTATTATGTAGGCTTATTTTTTGCACTCCCGCGTTAATGATAAACTCATCATTTCTAATGAACAAAATCTTTAATGCTAAATCGAAAATATGACCTGGAATTTTCTTTTTCTTTTCTTGTGAAAGTCATTAAGATGCTTGAATTTATTCTAAATTAATACAGTTTTATTGCTCGTTTATTTTTCGTAAAATTAATACTTGTAGGAAAAAATAATTGTAAATAATATTTTTTCAATTAAAAACATTAGCCGTTGAGATAATATTTCTCAATGTATTATATTCGATCCTATCGTTTAGGTAATAATACTTTGACATCAGGTTAAAAATATTAAAATTTTATCTCATTAAGACCATAATTTTTTTAATAAATAATAAGAAATTTTAAAATCTTTTAAATTTATTGTTAAAATATGAGCTCAAGAAATGCTAAAAAAAACAAAAAAATGGTAATTATGTGAATAGCCATTAGTATGTGTTTTTGATGCAGTTGTCATTTGAGATGTTGTTGGTTTTAAATACGTAATCTGAGTGGTAGTGACTAGCAAATGAATGAGAAGAATGCAAAAAAAAAAAAAAAATGTAAATTATGAAAGCCATTAGTAGCTGTTGATGGTGGTCGGTGGTAAATAGTAACTAGTGGTAGTGACTACAATGATTAATAAATTAAAAAAATATAGATTTATAAAATTTATTAAAATCCGGAAAATGTGTTACTCTTTTGAAAATGAAAAAATTTTCTTTAAAAAATAACTTAATTTTCCTTTGACTAGAAAAATATTTTCCGTTGACTTATTTTTCTGAACGCTCCTAACAACGGAAAATTGTGAAAAATATTTTCCTACAAATTATTTTACGAAAATAAACGGAGCCTCTTAGTGATTTTCTTATTCTATTAAATGTTTAATTATTGTTAACTGATGGAACATGCTGAGAGGTAGAATAATAAATATGTGATAAAATGATATTTGTAAATCCGCAGCAACGCGTGGGTAATTTTGCTTGAATATTTCTATAAATATAGATATAAGAAATACGGTGCCAACACCCAATTATTATAATAATATTTCATAGTGCGATTCTTTTGTACTGAGAGTTATTGGAGATATTTGGTTTATGAATTTAGTGGAATAGTTATAGGATTAAGTAATTAATTGATCATGCAGAAATGTTTGTGAGAAGTTAATAATGTACCCGGACCCGCTGCACCATCGGTATACTCTCATATCTATATATACCTATGTCTAATTAAATTACTGCAATTTATATTTATGTTGCTTTAATTTAAATAATTTACTTATTTATTTTTAACTCAAAAAAATTAAAATTATAAGCTTTTTTCTTTGAAATTCTCAAGTAATGAATTGAAATAAAATTACAATATTTAATTACACAAATAATATGAAAGTAAAATATTTAATTTAACTGAATATAGTTATATTATTAATTTTTTTTATTTTAAAAGTTATAGTTATATCGAATTAGATGTAGGTATACGAATATTTCAAGATTAAATGAAATGGAAAATTTTTTAAAAATTTGAAATTAAATCATATTGAATTTATATTTGTAATGTAGCTTTATAATTATTTTAATTAATCTTATCGTTGTAATTAATTTATGACTACTCTATTTTAATCACTCATTAGTTTCTTTCTTAATAGATTAGAAAACGGTATTTTATTAGAACTCAAACTATTTATAAATGATAAAAATAAAATTAATTATATGAAATCTAAACCCTTTGCAGCTTAAATTGCCAGCAAATTAAATAGAAGAAAACCTAACCCTTTTGAGCTTTGAGAAACTGCCAAATAATCTTTAGGGCTTGAATTTTTTTTTTTCCTGAAAAACTCAATATTTATTAAATGTAAAAAAAAATTAATTATAATGAAATCTAACCCTTTGAGCTTAAAATTGCCAGCAAATTAAATAGAAGAAACCTAACCTTTTGAGCTTTGATGAACTGCAAAATCTTAGGGCTTGATTTTTTTTTTTTTCCTGATTTTGGGACATTTGAACTGCAAAATTGCAGGGTGAGAGGAGTTCTGTTATCGTTTTGATGCCTTCGCATCACTGAAAGAGAGAATAACAAGTCTGCTTATTTCCCTGAGGATGCAAAATACTGTAGTCACAAGGCAAAACTGAAACATCCATTCCGACCAATTCCAGAATAAAATCATCATTTCTTCAAGTCAATGTTTTGTTTGCCATCAGAAATATTGTTCAGTGTCTGCTTCCTATCTGTTATCATAAGTCCTCTCTTTCTCATTTCCTCACGTAAATGGGACATGGCAACCGTGTCATTCTGCTTAAGGTACCCTCTAAGCAGAATACCAAAAACCACCGAGTCAGGAGTGATTCCCCCTCTCAACATATTGTCAAAAAGTTGTTTTGCTTCGATCATTAACCCTTTATTTGCCAAACCAAAAATTAGAGAGCTATATGTTAACAGATCAGGTTCAATACCTTCTTGGACCATCTTATTCTTCACCCTAAAGGCCTCCACTATTTTGCCTTGCTTGGAAAGCTCAGCAATCCAAGAAGTGTAGACAAACTTGTCTGGAATGAACCCAGCTTCAGACATCTCTCTTACAAGTCTCTCAACTTCACTTAAGTCCCCTTCCTTACAAATTCCATCAATGAGTATGGTGTACGAAACTTCATTAGCCTTTTCCTTGCAAAAATACTCTTTAGCATCATGATTCTGTCCATGTTTACATAACCCATCTATTAAGCACGACATAGTTACAACATCGGGCTCAAAGCCTCCGTTCAATAACTCCCCGTACACAGTAAAGGCTGCTTTTGTATTCCCAGCCTTGAAGTGGGCATCCATAATCGTTGTTAACATTATCTTATCAGGAGTTATTCTATTCCTCAACATATCTTTCATAACTTCCAATACTAAATCAAATCTACCATTACTAGCAAGTCCTGATACAACTACCCCATATATCACCACATCAAGCTTGATACTTGTGTCGCACATTTCCCTAAAGTACTTCATTGCAGTGTCTACAGTCCCTTTCTTGAAGTGTCCATCTATTATTGAAGTGTAAACAGTCGAATTGGGCTCCATCCCAACTTCCAACATCTTCAGAAACAACTTTTCTGCTTTTTTCAACATTCCCCGTTTGCAAAAACCATCAATTAGCACAGCATAAGTAACCACATTTGGTGAAAGCAAACATTTGTTCATACCCTCATACAACTGAAATGCAAAATCCAAATCACCAACCTTACTATATCCATCAATCAAAGAAGTATAAGCAACCAAATTTGGCTCAACACCATCTGTCCTCATTTCCTTAAAGATCTTATACCCAATCCCCAGATCCCCCATCTTACAGAACATATCAACCCAAGTCCCATAAGTAACAACGTTAGGTAAATAACACTTCCACATTAAACCCATATACACAAAAGCCTCTCTCATCATTTTCCTCTTACAAAACCCATTAAATAAGACATTAAAAGTTACCAAGTCTAATCTACACCCACCACTCCTAATTCTATTTACAATAAAACAAGCTTCTTTAACATTGCCATATTTACAATATCCATCAATCAAAGAATTGTAAGTAACCATATCAGGTAAAGATCCGAACTTTGGCATTAAATCCATAATGTTTTGAGCATAGCTAGCGTGCCCTAGTTTGGAAAGAAATGAAATAACAGAATTGAATGACGAATTGAATGAAGAAGGGAGAGGTGTGTACCATTTGGACAGGAAGTGGGAGAAGATCTTGAGAGAGAGATCACCACAGGAGGAGTTGGTTAGGCAATGAAGATGCTTGTTGAAGATATAAGGGTCTTCGGGTTGATTTGAGGTTCTCTTCAAGTGAGAGAAGAACCCTAAGGCTTCTCTTGTCACAATCATCTCTCTCCTACTAGGAATAGGCATGACCAGGGAGAAGTAACGGACTTTCCTAGAAGTTCAGCCAGCTTTGTTCCTGAATCCTGCTATAGCATCTTAAATTAGAAATTTGAACATAATACTATAATCCAATAAACTAATTACATTCCAAACATTTCATTTGAAGATCACAACACAACAAAATTTGATATATTTACAAAAATTCTTAAAATAAAGGGCTATCTGGATAACAAGAAAATAGACTTGTTCAGCCGTACTACCGTCCAAAAAAAAGAAAAAAAGAAAAAAAAAAACTGATTTGTTTTATTAGAACTATCCTTTGTTAAGAGATCTTGGCAGATTACACAAAAGAATGTAATCTAGTTTCAACAAAAAAGTTGAGGTTCTAACAAGAGTACTACCTGTTAATAAAGAGCCTATATGGCTTTACCTCATTCAAAGTGGAAAATCAAAGTTGAATATAGATAGCAAGAAAAAAAAAAAAAGAAAGGGAAAGTTTCAATAAACTAACAACCTAAAATACTTCAAACACGCACCTAAATAGGCAAAATATGATAAATAAAAAAAACCACCAAATCGGCAAATCAAAATTTCTAATGGAATAAACTAAATCGGAGCAATAGAAAGAAATTACCTGATCAAATAGAAACCTAAGTTTAGAGAGAGAGAGTAAACTTGAGGAGATGACCGCTAATGGAACCGTTGTCGTCAGGTTCAATCTTTGGATGAAAGGCAAGGAGCAAAGCAGCGGCGATGAGCGACGGATGCAACGAAAAGAAAAATGAGATTTGAAAACCATACTCAAAACTACGTAGTTTGATGCAGGTTCTTTTAAACTTCCTATAGGATAATATAAAATGGAAAATAATTAATTGGTATATGATGTTTAACCAGACTAATTAATTTCTCTTTGTATTTTTTTAATATTAATTAAGAGTCCCTGAAATTTTATTCTGTTAAACTATAAAGTCCTTCCATCTTTTTTTTTTTTTTTTTTTTTTTTTTTTTTTTGCTGGTTAAATTTGTGAATACAAACAAAAATAATCCACAAATTATATGAGTAAGACCGTTTTTTTTTTTTTTTTTTTGCTGTTAAAATTTGTGAATACACAAAAATAATCTCACAATTATATGAGTAAGGACGATTATACCCTAGGTTACTTGATGAATCGAAGTGGAAGGACAATGAGGAGTCATTCTTCCCTGTTTGTCGAGAACAAAGAACTTCCTTAGCACGCCATCTTCTCTAATTCCATGGAAGCTTTAGATCGATTTCCCAAAAAAAAAAAAGAAGTAACTTTCATCTTTCAATAACCGTAAGGAAAGAGGTGAGTAGTGGAACGAAGAATCACGCTTCATTGCAAGGTAAGTTAGTGATTTTGTTCTAAAACCCATATGACACTTTTGGAAAAATTATGCATATTGATCAATATCATTCATCGATTATGTTCTAAACATCTATGCTTTTGAATTGTTTTACATTAGAAACGTATATATTGGCATAGATTAGGGTTTTGATTGTGAATTGATTTTAATAACTTTAGTCCCAACTGTGGTTTTCACTTAAAAAAACAGAGAGTTTTATAGTGAATATGGCTGAAACGAGATATCACACATCAGAAGTTCAGTATAAAGGGGAAACACGTTATATTTATGACGCAGACCTTGATAAGATTTCTTTCATTATGTCGATGGCGAATATGTGCAAAGTGCATCATATACAGGTACATTTAGTGAAAATTATTTGTGGAGATAACATTAAAATAAAAAGCGACAAAGATGTTTGTTTAATGTTTGAGTTGTTCAAGAATAGTCAGTTTATTGAGCTGCGTTTGGTAAATAGGCAAGTTCCTATACCATTTGAGATGCTACCAACACAACAGAGTCAAGTTGTGGATAATATCGCAAGATTCAGTAATTCTCAACCTGGAATCAAGCAGGGGGCAAGACGATGATGAATTGACTATTATTATTGATGTTGGGACTGTGAATGAGCAAAATATTGGGATTGAACCTACTGAGCAGAATGTTGTGAATGATGAGGATGGTGGGCAACAGACAGGGGATAGTGCTATAAGGAAGAAAAATAGAAAACTTGTGTATGGTGCTAATGTATGGGATAATGTGTTAGAGGAAGACACAGAATACAATGCAGCAATCATGAATTTAGGTAAGGGGAGAGGCAGGGGTAGACTAAGAGGAGTTGGTTTAGGCAATATTGCAAGCAGAGGTGAGCAGAGCAAAGGTAAAAGGACTTCTGCTGCAAGTCATTATAGGTTTAGACAAAGGGAACCTACAAATAATGAAGATATGAACCTTGATGACATAAATGCTTATGCCAACTCTAGCTATGATGAAGATTATGTGCTTTCTGAAAGCCCTGAAGATCAAATCAGTGACTCTGCAATACATGAGGAACCTAAAGTTGAGCAAGCTAAGTTGGAAGATCATGAATCAAGTGATGGTCTTAGTGATATAGGAAATATAGGAAGTGACAAGGAGGATTTTGTTACACTCTCTGATGATGATCAACCTCAAGGTCAGGGCAAGAGGAAGAGAAGGTGAAAGATCCATTCAAAAACCTGTATTTAAATGTGTTTGTGCCACCAAAAGATGGGAATATTATGTTCAGTGTCAATCAAGTGTCTAGGGATGTTTCTAGTTATAGGGATGCTATGAGGGATTATGCTGTTAAAGGAGGGTACCTTGTTTGCATGATAAAGAATGATAAAGAGAGGGTTACTGTAGAATGTAAAGTTGACGGGTGCCCATTTAGATTTCATGCCAGTGTTGCACCTAATAACTGCACATTTATTGTGAGGACTTTACAGCCTGAAAACATATGCATTAGGCCTGTGAGAAACAGAAATCCTAATGCCACTACAAAATGGGTGATGAAGAAGCTTGAAGATCAATTGGCAAGTGATCTTGGCATGAGTTATGAACTCATGCAAAGTGAGTTGAAGAAAAAGTGTTGAGTTATGAACTCATGCAAAGTGAATTGAAGAAAAAGTGGGGAATTGAACCTGAATATTGGCAATTGAATAGAGCAAGGAATTTTGCAAAGGAGCAAGTAGCCGGTTGTCATCAAGAAAGTTACAACAAATTGCAAGAGTACATAGCATCTCTCCAAAGGTCAAATCCAGGCACATTCATTAAGTTTGAGGCAATGACATGGAATAGTGAGGAAGAGCCCTTAGTTTTCAAAAGTATATTCATATGTTTTGAAGCTATGAAGAAAGGGTTTATGAAGGGGTGCAAGCCTTTCATTGGGCTGATGGATGCCATTTAAAGGGACCTTTTGGAGGATGTGTGCTTAGTGTAGTGAGTCTTGATGGAAATAAAAGTGTATTTGCTTTAGCTTTCGCTATTATGGTATCGGAGAATTTAGATACATGGAACTTCTTTATGGACTGTCTGTGGCAATGCATTGGGCCTTCAAATGCAGACACATCTTAGACTTTTATGTTCGATAGACAAAAGGTACTAACATGTTCGTAGAAATATTCTTATAAGTATCTCAATTATTATGCAGTTCTAGAAATTTCAAATGTTATTCATTCTTTGTTTGTAGGGTTTGCTAGAGGCAGCAAGAGTCAGCTTTGTGTAGGTATTGTTGCCAACATCTGCTAATGAATATGAAGAAGCAATTTCCTAGAATCATGTTAAAGAATTTTGGATTACTACAAAAGTGACATTTAATTATGCTGTCATACAACAAATGAAAGTGATTACAGAAAAGGGGGAAGGAAAGTGAGTTGAATGGTTGTTGAACATCCCAGTCTCACATTGGGTTATGCATGTGTTTTGGCTAAAAGCAAAGAGCGAACTGCATAGATAAATGTCTGAAAGTTTCAATAGTTACCTTAGTAAATTAAGGAGCAAAAAATTGATAGTGTGAGACAGAAATGCATGGTTCGCTTACATAAGAGGTATGCAAGAGCAGCAACATGGGAAGTAAGGGTTACACCACCCTATAAATAAATTCGCAATAACCTACTCAATGAAAGTATGAAGTGTAGGATGCTACCAAGTAATTCTGATGAATTTGAGGTGCTAGAGGGACCAGTTGCATTTGCTGTTGATTTAAAGAAGATAACTTGCAGCTGCAATTGGTGGGCAATATTGGGCATTCCTTGCAACCATGCTTCTCTTGCAATTGGATATAAGAGGTATAATATTAAAGATTTTTGTGATGTATAGAAGATTTTTGTGATGACTACTTCACAATAGAGGGGTATATCAAAGCATATTCTGGAGTCATACGCCCAATACCATATTATGATCTTCCCCCGGAGACTCAATTTCCTAAGTTGAAACCACCTTTATTGATGAAAAGAAAAGTTGGAAGACCAAGAGAAAGGAGAAACCTATAAGAAGGGGGAGAAAGCTCTAAGCACTGCAAAGAGGTCTTGCACTGTCAAGTGCTGCATTTGCAAGTAGCTAGGACATAAGAAGCGCACCTGTGAGAAGGCCCCACCTCCAAACTCTCAGGTAGTACTTGTAATATTATCATTTTGGGTTTATATTTAGGCTTTTTTGCTGTAATATTGATCATTTACATGTACTTTCACATCTTCTTAGCAGAAGAACAAAAAACAGCAAGTTGGGGCAAAGAAAAGTGCAGCTGGAGGGAATTCTAGTTCTAGTGGAGCTTCAAGACTTTGATTGAAGAATGATGATCATATAGTTCTTTTTGGATTCTGATTAGATAATGCATACTATTTTTGGTTATAGTGTTGTCATTTTTGTATTTCCCAGCAATATATTTTACTATTTTGTAAATCACAGCAAACTTATTATATGCAGCTGGTTACAAGAAATGGTTTAATTTGTTATTTCATTTTGTAATGCTCAAATTGATTAATAAGGTAGAAATGAAGAAGTTAGTGTTTTTGGTTAGAAATGGTTTTATTTTGGATGGGGTTGCTGAAATTTAAGTGTGCAGGTTGGGTTTGTTGATTTATCCGTGTTTGTGCATTTTTCTGTGTTTGTGTCTATTTAAGAAAAACCTGTGCTGTGCATTTTTCTGTGTCTTTAAGATTTCTGTGTTATATAAATTATGTAGGTTAGGAATTTTTCATATAGTTGTATGAATGATGCAGGTTAGGAAATTTTTTTGCTGATAGCTTTTAGGGTTAAAAAGAATTCTTTTTTCATACTTTTCAATTTGTAAATTACAGAGTTTATATACACAACATATAATTATTATAGAATATTTACAATAGAAATTTTTTTGCTGATTAGCCTTTTAGTGGCTCAGAAAGAATTCTTTTTTCATACTTTCTCCAAATTTGTAAATTACAGGTTTGTGCTAGGTTTTAATTACAGAGTTTATATACACAACATATAATTATTATAGAATATTTACAATAATTGCATTTGATCCTTTCCTTATTTGCTTGATCCAATTTCCTTATTTTTTTGATTCTGATCCTTTCCTTATTTGCTTGATCCAATTTCCTTATTTTTCTGATTCTGATTGATTTCCTTATTCTTACACTCCCCCCTCAAGTTGGGTCGTAGGGTCTCCGACACCCTACTTGACTAATACTTGATTGAAGATCTTTCCTGGAACTGTTTTGGTGAGTATATCTGCCAACTGCTCCTAAGACCGAACAAATGGCAAACAAATGCTTCCATCTTCAAGTTTCTCCTTGATAAAGTGTCTATCAACTTCCACATGTTTGGTCCTATCATGTTGTACTGGATCTTCAGAAATGCTTATAGCTACTGTATTATCACACAGTAGTTTGCAGGGCCCTCCTAGAGGGAAACCTAACTCTGTCAATAACTTCTTCAACCAAAGAACTTTGGCTAAATCCCGTGCAATCCCTCGAAACT